ATGCCCTTACAATGTTTAATTCCTTGTGAGCATATCCTACTCATATAGTGCATTATTTCTTGCTCGCATTAAATTGGCGATGGCAGTATGGCACCACCCACCAGCTATGTATCAGATATATTAAATTTTATATCAGCAAAGGAAAAAAAAAAAACAGAAAAACTCAAAAAAGAAGAAATTTGTAAGTATCATCTTTAGTGAGTCTCAAAATCATAACAAGTACATAGTGTTGGTGAAGCCAATAAATGGATAATTCAATGCACTATAGGCCCTTGAAGAGTTTCACTTTAGAAGCTTTAATACATAATGGAGATCACGTATTGGCCTTTTGGTATTATATCCATTTGTGATCTGAAAAGCCCAAAAAGTTGTAACTTAAGCAATATTGAGCATATATCTTAAAAAAAAAAATGGTGGTGCAGAAAAAGGTGAAGATGAGGAACAAGAAAGGAAATAGCATCCCAAAGAGAAAAAAAGGTCCTTTGTTTTCTTGGCCATGGGGGAATTTAAATAATTTCAAGGCATGTTGCATTTTTTCAGTAAACTCCCTGCACCCCTTTGTTTTATGCAGTGTCCATATATTGATAAGACCCAAAAATTAACATAATCTAGTTATTTTTTATTTTTTGTAATTTAATATTTTTATTTCTGGGTGCAGTATTTGTTGTATGGGCCATTAGTAGGGAAAGTTGCATATGCAATCTACAAGAAGGAAATGAGCAAGAATGAAATTTGGAGCTTCCACATTCTCTTGCTGTTTGGGCTTAGAGCCCTTGTGCACCAGCTGTGGAGTACTTACAGTAATATGTTTTTCCTTAATCGTGCTCACCGGATTAATGAAGATGGAGTGGAATTTGATCAAATTGATGCTGAATGGCATTGGTATCATTTCCCATTTTTTATCTATTATTTCATATATATTCTGATAAATTAAGCAGATATGAGTACTGAAGGGAGGGAACTAGATTTTTTCTTTAGTTATGAAACCGACAATTTTTTAAGAAAAAAAAAATATATATTTTATTTTGGCTTGTTAGATTTTGATTTCTTCCTTGTTGTGTTGATTATTTGGGACAGGGACAGTTTCTTGATACTTGAATCTATTGTGGCCTCATTGTCATATTTGAGTTTCCCTAATTTGTTGGCCAATCTTCCCATGTGGGACACAAAGGGTGTTCTCTGTTGCCTTTTGCTTCATATTGGAATTTCAGAGCCATTATATTACTGGATGCACAGATTATTGCATTCTTCGGTTTTATTCAGCCATTACCATTGGCTCCACCACAGCTCCAAAGTTTTAAATCCATTCACAGGTACAGAGAAAAAGTAAATATATAAATGTCTAATTCTAGTTCTGCAAAATGCAAACTCTGCAAAGTGGTCCTGTAAATATCAAGAAATCTCAAATGTGGTCCGAATTTTCGATTTCAGATGTTTATCACAGTTACAAGTCTTTATTTTAACAGAATGTACCATTCTGCTGCTGGACTGAAGTTACAGATGAATATTACAAATTTTCCACAATTATAGTTCCTAAAAAGACATAAATTTTTCACCTAAATGTACGACATATATCTAACCATTTTGATAACATTTTTATTTACTTATTGCTGCAGCTGGGCATGCAACATTCTTCGAGCATCTGTTACTTTGTGTAGTAATTGGAATCCCGACACTGGGAACTTCCTTCATCGGTTATGGATCCATAAGCCAAATGTACGGTTATATTTTGGTGTTCGATTTTCTTAGGTGTTTGGGTCACAGCAATGTTGAAGTCATTCCCTGCCAATTATTTCACACCATTCCTTTCCTCAGATACCTTATATATACGCCAACGTAAGTTCTAAGTTGGAATCATGCATCTCTCTTTTTTTAATCTGTTTAATGTTTTTAGTATCGATTTTATGTTAATATACATCATATCTTTTTTTTTTTTAATTATGGAGAAATGTGAATCTCTGAAACATTTCTACTTCTGTTTGTTCTCTGCAGATACCATAGCCTTCACCACATGGATATGAAGACTAATTTTTGCCTCTTCATGCCTTTATATGATAAATTATGGAATACACTGAACTCTGCTTCGTGGACCCTTCACAGAGAAATTAGTTTGAGGACGAGTGAGTAGATTGTTCACACGCATAAGAAGTTTAATCACAAGTTAAACTGTTTTCAAAGTATTATGTCAGTAAAAAAAATTGAAAAAGTCAACGAAAAATAAACTCTATCGCAAAACTTAAAATTTCAGCATATGCATGCACATAAATAGTGAAAAAGGCGAAATTTTACTTGAAGTCTTGTGAATGGCTCTCGCTGTCCTTTGTTGTTGTTGTTATTATTATTATTTTAGTTTTAACTCGTATGATATGAGATGAATGTACAGATAGCAGAGGACCTGATTTCGTGTTTCTTGTTCATATGGTGGATATTATGTCGGCAAATCATGCTCCCTTTGTCCTTCGATCCTTCAACTCCATACCTTACAGTACAAAGCTCTTTTTGCTTCCAATGTGGCCTTTTACGTTTATCATCATGCTCATTATGTGGGCCAAATCAAAGACATTCATGACCAGCTTTTACAATCTCAGAGGAAAATTGCACCAGACATGGGTTGTACCAAGATATGGCTTCCAGGTACCTGTTTTTTTTTTTTTTTTTTCACCATAATTACCTTTACAGTAAATGACATGAGTTGACTGCAGAAGAATCTGAGTTTCAGGTTTAGTGTAGTCTTAAAACAGGTTAAATTAAAAGAAAATGAGTGAAGCTAGTTACCTGAAAAACTGATTAATGGACAAAATAGTGTATACATACAGAAATTACCTGAACTGAAATCATCGTCTGACTGTTTCTTTCTTCATTTTTTCGTGACTTTTAAATATATACGAACAGGTAAATTTGGTGTGTATTGGTAACAGTTTTACTGTTACATTTCTGCAGTATTTCTTACCTTTTGCTGCAGAAGGAATAAATAAACACATCGAAGATGCAATCCTTACGGCTGACAAAATCGGAGTTAAGGTCCTTAGCCTTGCTGCATTAAATAAGGTTAAAAAGTCAGCTCCTTGTTCATCCATCTTCTTCTGTTTCAAGTGATTGTTTATCAAAACAAAAAAAAGGGAAGAAATCTATTTCAAACTCAAATATATAATTGCAGAACGAAGGCCTGAATGGAGGTGGAATCCTTTTCACAGAAAAGCATCCGAATCTCAGAGTTCGGGTTGTTCATGGCAACACATTGACAGCTGCTGTGATTCTAAACGAGATTCCTCGTGATGTTGATGAGGTTTTCTTGACAGGTGCAACTTCTAAGCTCGGTAGAGCCATAGCACTCTATCTTGCTCAGAGGAAAGTCAAAGTGCTCGTATGTAACAATAAAAAAAACTCTTTATCCATAGAAATAAAAGGAAATAGAATAATAATAATAATAATAATAATGCGAGTGGTGTGAATAAAATTCAGATGCTAACGCTGTCGAACGAAAGATTCGTCAAGATTCAGAAAGAAGCACCAGTGGATTGCCAAAAGTATTTGGTCCAAGTTACTAAATATGAAGCGGCTAAGCACTGTAAAGTATGTTTTATAAGTATATGGAGAGATCTTTTGTTCTTTTTTTTACAAATGTTATTATATTGCATTTTTTTCTTATGAGTTTTGATGACAATTTTGCAGACATGGATTATCGGCAAGTGGGCTACGCCACGTGAACAGTACTACGCCCCAACTGGTACGCATTTTCACCAGTTTGTGGTTCCACCAGTTATTCCGATTAGAAGGGACTGCACTTATGGAAATCTAGCAGCAATGAAGCTTCCGGAAGATGTTCAGGGACTCGGAATATGTGAGGTATAACTATATGCCCTTCTTCAAGTATTCCATTTTTCTGTGTTTGTGATCATATTCTCACCCTTTTGTACTTGGATTTTTAATCGTAGCAATAGAATAAATAACAGACTACTATTAGTGCATGCTTCAACAGTGTTTGCAGACACTTAGAAAACAAAAACAAAAAGGAAAAAAAAAAAAAGAAAAAAACGATTGAGTGGGACGATTCAAACTTTTGATTCTTGCTTTTTATGGATCAGTACACAATGGGACGAGGGGTGGTTCACGCTTGCCATGCTGGCGGTGCTGTTCATTTTCTTGAAGGCTGGAAACACCATGAAGTTGGGGCAATTAATGTCGATCAGATTGATGTTGTCTGGAAGGCTGCACTCAGACATGGATTTAAGCCTTTGCAAATTTCAGAACAAAAGAAAACAGAAATGTCAGTCGATGTTTGAGGTGTTCCTATTGCTCTGTTCACGTCCGGTCACTCTATACACCTATATGTCACTCGTGTGGAATTAGTCATACAGACATGAAATGAAGTATCTGTTAGGTTTTCCTATCTTGTTTAGATATGACTGTGCTTTCAAAGTTATGAGACAAACAATCAACAGATGGCATTTAACTATAATTCTAATAAAGCTCGGCTTTCTTTTTGGCAAATAGATGTTTTTTTGTTTTTGTTCAACTTTAAGTGGTTATTAGGAATTCTAGTGTTTCATCCTGGTTTTTGCATGTTCCTATTCTAATTTTTTGGTTATAATTCTATTCGTGTGCTAATAATATATCAGAGGCTGCAGCACTGCAGATTTCTGCACAAACTTGTACTAGCAACAGAAAAATCAGCTCACCGTAGTTGAAAAGAGCTTTATTTATTAACTCGGCTGCCAATCAAATCTAAGCAAAAACACAATACATTAACTTTCATCACAAGTACACAACTCTGCTCTGTGATGTTCACATTCAGAAAGAAAAAAGCAAGAAGAAACCAAGTATAAAAAAATCAATAAACAGAACATCAAGAGCTGAGCTCAAGAAAAGTTTTGGCCATAGGATGCTTAGCTTCAGAGAGCTTATTAGGTTCCAAAATCTCGACAATCTCACCATCCACAAGAAGGCACACTAAATCCGCAATCCTCTGAATCTGTTTAATGCTATGAGACACCATAACAATAGTCATTCCCCGATCTTTCTTCAGCTTCACCAGAACATCTTCTATGTTCTGAGTCGATATTGGATCCAATGCACTCGTTGGCTCGTCCAGCAACAAAACCTTCAAAAATTACACACTTAATTTATATTTCTTATATAGAGATCTTTAAAATCACAATTTTATTCAAAATTCTACCTCGGGCTCATTGGCCAAGGTTCTTGCTAGAGCAACTCTCTGAGCTTGGCCAACCGATAATTCGCCACCCGATTTGGAGTAGAACGAAGGGTCAAGGTCAGCAAGAGAGAGTAATTTGTAGACTTCAGCATCACTTAGCTTTGTCCCTTTCAGTTGAGGCCCATATCTCACGTTGTCTGCTACAGTTCCTATACTTGTAAAAGGGAATGATATTTTATCAACCGAATACTTCAATAAAAATTGGAACTTTGTAGTAAAGGAGAGTTATTAACGAACCTTCAAATAGGGCAGGAAGCTGGAAAAGCATGCCGACTTTGCGGCGGAGTTTGAGGACGTCGAGGTCGCAAATGTCGACGCCGTCCAAGAAAACGGTGCCGGAAAGGGGCTCCCAGAGGCGGTTAAGGGCCCGCAGGAAAGTGGACTTCCCGCTTCCGCTCGGCCCGATTACTCCCATTATCGTTCCCCTCTGGATGTCCGCGTTGACTTTGTTCAGAATCCTGACCTCCTTGTCCGATACCTTGCTCAGACCCCTCACCTCGATTTTCGGGCCGCCGATTGACGGAGGCGCTAGCAGCAGGGGCTCCCGTGCTCCGTCTGCAGACGCCATTATTTAACCGCGCATCAGGTCAATTACAAAAATGTGAGATTAAATGAATTTCCAGATTCGTAAACAAGAAATTTCAGAAGGAACCCGTTTTAAAAATGATTGAAAACCTTGAAGGGTAGCCGCCATTGGGAAACTGGAACTTGAAGCTCTCAGAAGAAATTAAGATGGAGCTGTAGCGTATCAGTCAGATAGAGAGAAAAGGAGGAACTTTATGAATGATGCTATCTTATACATAGAATAGAAGGAAACAATATGGATACGACCTGCCTGAGGTAGAAGGAGTCGGGAAGGAGAGCAAGAACTGGACAGCATTTTTCTAATTGTGCTTGTCCACATCAGATCGGAAAAGATACCGTCTTTATATTTTTGTCTTGTCCCTCCATTTCCGTATTAAATAAAAGATACCTTCTTAAATGATGCCACGATTTTATTAAACCATCTCCAATCATCTAAGTGTTAAACGGGCTACTTCTAACGGTCTCGGACTAGCCCTAACGGGTTTCGGACTAAACGGTCCGGGCCTAAAAAGCCTGGATTTAAACGGGCTATCAATAAAAGGACCTAACCCTAAACTTAGCGGGCTTCGGGCTAAACGGGCTATACGGGCTAGAATAATAATAATAATAATAAATTACAACACATAGTTAACGGTTTTTTTCAACAGCTATTTTGTATTTACCACTATCTATATACAACTACACTTCATATATGAGCACACATTACAAACTCTTAAATAACATATTGTTTCTGAATAGAAAAAATAAATGTTCGAATTATTACTTATAACTACCATTTGACTAGTTATTTCGTATGTTTCGGGAATTTTCACAATATAGCATACTGTTTAATTTATATTCTATCACTATATTCTATGTGTTAGGTCTTTGTCTCAATTGTTTTTTATTCGCCATTCTGATTGGCTTAAATATTTTGTGTGAAATAGAATAAAATTTGTTAATAATTATCTATCAAAATAATAATAATACATTATAACTCATAATTATATGTGAAGTAAAATAATAAAATTATAATATACAAGAAATCATGAGACATATTCTTTACCTTTCTAAAAACATATACACCACTCAACCCAAGTTAAACGGGCTAGCCTTAGCGGTCTTCGGGGTAGCCTTAGCGGGCTTCGAGCTAAACGGTCCGGGCCTAAAACCCCGGATTTAAACGGACTGCCAATAAAAGGCCCTAACCCTGTTTTTTTCCGGGCTAAACGGGCTGTCCCGTCGGGCTAAGGACCATTTAACATCTCTACATCTACTCTACTCTAGTATAGAGAATATCAAAATCACTATGCTACTCTAGAAACATAGTTTTGAATGAGGTCGGCCTCTGAATGTTTTGAGGCCGGATCTTGAGACTGTGTTGTCTGAACTTATTATGAATGATTGTTGTTTTTTTACAATCAATGTAGAGAGAGAATTTTTCTCTATTTTCTTTTTGGATTATTCTTTTTCTTGAACAATAATTATTTTCCTCAAGTCCAGTAGCCATCATGATTGGATGCCTGAGTTGGTTCAGTCGATGCTACCCGTGCGGGTGGCACCCATTGGGGTGTTTTTAGCATTTTTAATAATGCTATTAGCCTTTTTTCCATTTTACTTGTAGTATTTTGGATATACTATTTTATGCAACAGCTACTTGTGTTTGTAAATTTCTTAATCTTTTTAATTGTTTTTCACATATCATTATCATGTCGTAATAAAATTCTTCACTTGTAATATCATGTAAATAAGCATATCTTATTTGTTCTGTTTTTATATTTTGAATTTCCCATTCTATATCTAGATATATTTTTATAGTACTCATTTTTATTTTCCTGTTTTTGGCTCGTTATCTAGCTCTGATACCATATTTTAACCTTATATATTACCACATATTTTAACCTTATATATTTTCTTCTTTAAAGCCATTTATATTATTGTTTTAGGTGGTCCTATTCTATGTAATTTCTTAAACTTTTTCTTATATTTTTGTATATCATATTCTATCTGTTTTATTTTTTGTTCATCCTTATTTATATATGAATATTGAATTGATTTTTCTATTAAATAATCTGCTTCTTTGATTTCCCTTCGTAATAATTCAGTTAATTCAAGATTTATATCTTTCTTATCCATTACTACAAATTATATTTCATCCTTGTCTATACCTTTGTACATCATTATTTGCTTGTTGTAATTTTTGTTCATCCCTTTCTATATATGTATTTTGTATTAGTTTTTCTATTAGATAATCTACTTCCTTAATTTCTTTTCTTCTTATTTCATATAATTCAAGATTTTGGTATTTCATTTATCCTAATAATGTTGCATTATCTAAATAATTTTCATATTTTATTGCATCCTGTCTATAAACTTCTATTCTTACTATTAACTCAAGATATTCCTTTTTATTTGTTGGTTTAAATATTTTATAACTCTTCCTATACTCATCGGGAATTTTCTTAATTTCATTATAGCTTTCTATCTTATTTTTAATAGTTAATTTTTCTTTTTTTAGTTCTTTTAGTTTTAGTCTTATATCTTTCATTTTAATTTTTATTTTGTATTCAAGTGGGATAATCTCGATTAAGATGAGATTCAGCCAATAATATTCCATTTTTAAGATACCTTACATTTAAAGGATGTAAAAGATATTCGTCATTTTGAATCATTCTAATGCTATAAGCAATTCTTTCGATATCTGAATCTATTAAATTTTTATCATACTGTCTTGTAACAGTGTAATATTTTTCTTTTAATTTTTCAAGGGTTGAATTTAAAACATATTCCCAAGGAATTGCGGGCATGATTATTTTATATTTAAATTCTTTTATTTAGGCTTATTACTAAATTGCTTAAGTCATTTACTTGTTTATTTAATGTTTTTATTTCATTTTCTTCTTCATGTATATTTTTAGTACTAAATGGTTTTTCTATCTCTCTTCTTTCGACTAAATCATTACTGTATGAATGTCTTCCTAATGTTAAAGGTGCCTTACTAATTATTCTCATATTGTGTTGTCTTAAAAACTCTTTTTGAATATTATCATTTTTTATAATTGTACTTGTTTCATTAAATATTTTTTCTGTATATATTCTTTCTTGATTTTGATAGTGCATGCTCAAACTACTATTACTTAATGCGTATGAAATTCTATAACAGACAACCATTGGTATGTCTCCTGAGTCCATTAACGTTTTTTCTTGAAAATTACATATTATTCCTAAACAATTGTTTATTTTCTTAGTTGCTAATGGTATAGGAAATTGTAATGATATATTAAATTTAATTACTCCATATCCTAGGTCTCCTTCTATTTCTCCTAGTTTTCTTGATTCCTTATGCATAATTCTATTGTCTTCAATTATAATATTTATAGGTGTTTTTATTCCTTCTCTAAATGTTGATTTTAATATAATTTGAACCGTGTTTATATGTATATATCCTATTTTCTTTCTATCTTCTTCCTTAATTTTTTCTAATCTTTTTTCTATCTGACTTATTTCTACAAGGGGTGCTTGAAATCTATAATTGGCTTGTTCTATTTTTATGGGTTGTTCTCCACTCATAATTCCATATACTATTGTATTTCTTCTAATTAATTTGTTTAATAAGCTATTATTTATCCCTTCTCTTTTATCTATGTCTAAATTTCCTTTATTTTTTACCTTCGTTACTAGCTTCTTATCTAATAATATATCTGCTAAGTATGTTCCCTTTTCTTCTATATGTTCTATAGTTTGATACTCGTTTTCCATTTTTATTATCTAACTACGAATGATTTTTTCAAAAACTATTTTCTAAATTGTAAATGAAAGCAAGAGTAAATATAGAATGATAAGAATATACCTCTGATTTTCTCCTTGTTTCCAACACAACTGGGGTTTGATCTTTCTGGCATTCAACACCTTCGATCTCCAGCTCTTCAGTGTTCCAGGAAACTCTTTGAGAAAATGTCTAGTATATTGTTTCACTCTTCTTATTTAGCTCACGCTTGCTAATTATTTAGTTGTTCATTTCTTTTTGAAACACACACTTTTTATTTCAGAAAATATTTTACAGACTCGAACTTCATACAAACTTGAATTGAGCACACCTTATGAATGGTATACTCGACTCCTTATATAGGCGGAGTTGCTAAGGATAGATGGCTAAGATTAGCCGACTAGATCAATGGTCTAAAACCATACCGCGTTAAGTGATAAGGTTTGCCATTGTTTTTTCAAAAAGTGGTGGTCATCATGCAAGATGCCATTCTCCACTGTAAAAGTTAAAAAGGTGGTGGACATCGTGCAAGATGCCATTCTCCACTCTTAAAAAGTAAAGAGAAAGTGGTTCAAATGGACCACAAAAAGACGCGTCCCTTTTTTATCGTGGGACTCAATACAGACTTATTATATTTTGTCTACATTTTCATGACGTATGTGCTTACGTCTTTTATTCTTCAATTATTGGATCTTCTTCTTCTTCTGGCAGTATTTCTTCAATTGCTTCTGTGTTACATTCTCTACAAATGTGATCTTCTGTAAATTCTTTCTGTAGTCGAATGCAAATACTCTTTTTTAGCTGTGTAGGGAATTCATACTGAATTTGCATAAGATCATCTAGATATTTGTTTAATGTCTGTTTGTCTTTTTCTGATGGATCTCTTGACTGCATACTCCAGATGATTACTGATTTTGCCGCATAATTAATTCGCCCTTTGAGCCAGATGCCTTTCTTGAGTATTATGACATAATTATTAAGAAACTGATTTGTCTCATCCTCATGATATGCTTTTCCTATATCTGGGTAATTTGTATTACTTACTCCAAGTTGGCAAAGTTGTAGTGCTGGTTGCGTAATTTCTCCCCCCTCTGTGAAAACAGGAGTTGTGGCAAAAATTTTTAGAAATCCTTCCTTCTTTCCTAGTATTCTGGATATATACTGACTTATTACTTGTCTGATCTTAATCGGAAAGTACTGAAATATGTCGGTTCCCTTGAAATAGATGCAACTTATAAGGCCTGATTGGAATAACATATATACTTTCATTGGATTTGCTTCTGGTAACACTACCACCTTCGGACCTAGGTATACTCCATCAATGGGATAAATACTTGTCTGTTTATCAATCTCAGTGTAATTAACAACGAACTTGAATTCATCGTTAAACCTTTCTCGTGTGAGATTTGTAATTTCTTCTTTTTGCTGTTTTGTCTGAATGTTGTCGATTGTCATTGGTCTAAATGTAGGAATTTTGCCAATTACTGGTAATTGCTTACTTGCTGCTTTGGCTGGTATTTTTGCTTTTTCTGCATACGTATTCTGGAATTTTTCCAAAGCTTGTTGAGCTTCAAAAAGACTCGAGAATTTTTGATATATAATATTTTTATTACCTACTGTATGGACTGCAACTTCAGCCCATTGTGTATAAAT